AAGCAGAGAAGGACCTTGGATCCTGGAGGAAAGAAGAGGGGCCCAACCTTCACACTTATAACTAATTTTTTAACACATCTGTGCTATCTTTCTGTTAGACCTCCCTTTCCAAAGGAAAATCACAGAGAACAAAGCCCACAAAACACAAAAGGAGTTGGTTATTCAGGTTTATTTTAGTCCAGCTAGATGGCCCCTCCCCAAGCACCCGAAAAGTCCTCGGAAGAGAGCCCCACCGAGCCATAGCTCAGGGTTTATATAGGGAGAAGGGCTAAGCTGGTGTAAGAAGCGAGAATTTTGTGGTTAGAGGTGGGGATTGCTTAACAGTTGCTTGAAGAACATATTTGACAGTTCTAATCACAAAGTTCATTAAAGATTTACATCTCAGGGGCTTGCTGGAGCCAGGAGGAGCTAGGTTGCTCAACCCCTTACCTTTTACCCAAATAGAGTTTGACATCAAACATTGGTTGGTATTTCCTCATTTGCAAGCCTCTTACCTTTTGGCCCAAGGGAGTTTTTACATGTCAAGAAAGTTCAAATCTGAACGCAAGAAACAAGAGTCTAGGGATCAATCTGTGGCTGGCGAGATTGTCATTTCTCAGGTGGGGAGAGAGCCAGGGGGGAGTTGGGGAGAAAGGAAGTAACATTTATGAGCACTCACATGCTTACAAGCATTATATCTGAAGCCCCACCCCTCCCCACAGGTCACATCACACAGCTGAGAGCTGACCTGCAGTGACCGGTCACCAGGCACTCTGATCTGGGTGCGTCATCTCAGTGAGCCCTTCCAACAGACCAGTGAGGTGGCCACCAGCAAGTGATGAAACTGAGATGAAGAGTTTTGGTAAACGGCCTAAAAGCAAACAACTACTAAGAGATTGGCCTCACTTCCAACATTACAGGCTGAGCTCACCTAAAAATCAGAGCCAGTCCTATTAACTGCCCAGGGGAACACAAAAGGAGACAGCACAGTACAGAACAAGATTTGGAAAGGCAGAGGTTTCTGTATCCACGTTTGGGATCAGGTCAGGTGGCCATACCTACCGCATGAGGTCTCAAGGGGAAGGAGGCCAAGTGCAGGGGCAGCCTTAGTCCTTCTTACATCAGGCAGACAGACAGACTGTCTCCAGGAATCGGGAGAGTGGCTTCAGCAGAGGGAGCTGATTCAACCTAACTTCACTGTAAACTGAGAAGAGAGTAACTGACATAATTCATATTTGGAATGATGTAACTTTCTTTACAGTCTCTTCCTTCCTGCCTTAGCTCAAAATAGAACTGTACAAACTCCAGCAGCTCTAGATAGGGTCTGTGGATGGCAGGGAGAAACAGTTTTTCTGCTGGGAAATCCTCTGAAACAGCATGGCATGGTAGCGCAGACTTGAGTTTGAATCTTGTTACTGCCACAGAAGTCTACTGACCTGGAAATCAGCTTACCCTTCCAAGCCTCTCTCCACGTCCAGCAAATGGGGGTATTTAGTACCTCTTGGGCTTGTGAGGTTGAAAAGAGTTGTTATGGAAGGTATCCTCCTTGCTCTTGGCTCATTGCAGCCACTTCGGAAAGTTCGTTCCCTTCCTCCCCTCTTGCCAACCTCGACTCAGAAGCGCCTGGGTGGCTCAGTTGTTAAGGGACCAACTCTTGATTTTGACTCTTGATCTCACAGTACATGAGTCCGAGCCCCAAACTGGGTTCTGTTCGGGATTCTCTCTTTCACTCTCTCTTCCCCCTCCCCATTTGAGCTCTCTCCAATCTCTCCAAATAAATTAATTAATAAACTTAAAAAAAAAAAGAAGATGCAGCGCTTTACAAGTGGGGCATCAGAGCGCCCCCATAAGGACTCCTGGAGACGACAGCAAGGAGACCCCGCATTCCACCTGTGGAAGCTGGCCCTAACCTCAGCGCTGAGGAAGGAAGGTCTCAGCCCTGGTGCCCTGGTGCCCACAGCATCCCAAATAGCCATCCAGTTTGAAAGGGATGGAGTCGTGGAACGGGGACTACAAAATGGCTTTCGGATCAGGAACCTGACTGGGATTTCGTGGGGCGGGGGGTGGGGGTGGGGTCCACACCCTCCTGCTGGCTATGCCAGGTGCCCTCCTCTGGGTTCTGGCCACCTCCCCAACATACCTCCCCTTTGCCTTACAGGGCCCTGAGAGCCTCAGGCCCTCCTCACTTCTTTTCAGCTGCCCCCACCAACCCTGGTGCCTGGCGTTCTCTCCCCCAAGACTGGCTATGAGGTGGAACACAGCCACCCAGGTGCTCCCTCCGCCCCTTGCTACCCTTGGCAGTGTTGAGGTACAGAGAGCACAGACCTGGAGAGTCCCATACCCTCCTGAGCCTCCATTCACTCATCTGTAAAAGAGGACCCACCCCCCTATAGAGGTTTTACTAAGATCTCTACAGGGAGCAGCCAAAGGAGGGACAAAGTTAACTGATGTGGGAAAGTTATAAAGGTTCCAGAAAGTACAAAAAATTCTTCCAGTCCCTGACTATTTACATGGACGTTTAGAAAGGGTTAGAGTTATATTAACATTAGTTTTAAAGAGCAAGTTGTAGAAGAGTCAAATGTATGTGTGTATACACGTGTGCGCACACATATCCATGTAAGTCTGATTAGTTATAAAAATTAAATAAGGAGAATTAATAGTTAGCAATGGTTTATCTCTAGGGTTTGAGATTACGATGATTGAATGGCTTCTCTTTTTACTTTGTACCCTTCTGTACAGTTTAATTTTTTTTTTTAATTTTTTATTTATTTCTAGGAGAGAGAGAGAGAGACAGCATGAGCAGGGGAGGGTCAGAGACAGAGGGAGTCACAGACTGAAACAGGCTCCAGGCTCTGAGCTGGCAGTCAGCACAGAGCCCGATGCGAGGCTCAAACCCACGAACCGTGAGATCGTGACCTAAGCGAAAGTCGGACGCCCAACCAACTAAGCCACCCAGGCGCCCCTACAGTTTAATTTTTTTTTTAATTTTTTATTTATTTCTAGGAGAGAGAGAGAGAGACAGCATGAGCAGGGGAGGGTCAGAGAGAGAAGGAGTCACAGACTGAAACAGGCTCCAGGCTCTGAGCTGGCAGTCAGCACAGAGCCCGACGCGGGGCTCGAACCCACAAACCGCGAGATCATGACCTAAGTGAAAGTCGGACGCTTAACCGACTAAGCCACCCAGGTGCCCCCAGTTTAATTTTTTTTAATGGACATATGTTGGTATTTTATTTTACAAGTAACTACTGTAACAAATAAAACAATAAAAACATAAATAAATAGTGTTAACCAAATCTTTCTCTCTCACATCCCTGCTCTTTCCTTTTATCCCTGAAAATGTAGGTTTATTAGCTTTCCTTTTCCACCACTGCCCACTCCACCCCTATCTTTAGAAAAACAGGAAAAGTAATAGACATCAATGAGCAAATCCCTCGGATTCCCCAGACTCAAGTGGGCTCAGTTATGTCCCTGAAGTGCAGTGTCTTATTTCAAAGTGTCCCCCCTGCCCCCCCAACCCCGCCATTAAACAGGAAATGTCAGATTAGACCATTCCTGAACACCTGGTCTCCAAGAGTGAAAACCAAACTCCACCTAAACTCCAGGGATGCCAGAGGACAAGGACTTGCCAGCTGCCAAGGGCACTGAGAGAATACCTACCTCCCAGTCCCAGTCCTGCCCCTGGCCAGCTGTGTGACATTGACAAGGCCCATCTTCTCTCGGAGACTCTATTTCCCCTATTAACCGGGGGTGGCAATGCCAACCATTAAGATTGTTGACTAGATCAAGTAAGGTCATGCAAGTATAAGCATATTTTCTTTTTCTTTTTTTTAAGTTTAGTTATTTTTGAAAGAGAGAGAGAGAGACAGGGCATGAGCAGAGGAGGGGCCAAGAGAGCAAGACACAGAATCTGAAGCAGGCTCCAAGCTCTGAGCTGTAGGCACAGAACCCAATGCGGGGCTCAAACCCACCAGCTGCGAGATCATGACCTGAGCCAAAGTCGAATGCTCAGCTCAACTGACTCAGGCACCCCTGGAAGCATATTTCCAATTGCAAAGTTCTCCACAGAGCCACGACAGAGCAGGGGACTTAGGGACTTACTGACCTTTATATGAAGGGGGTCCACTTTCTATTTTGCGTGAAATTCATGAATAGACACAAAGGGAGGAAGGGGATAAGGGAGGGCCGTCAGCATTTTCCTCCATCCTGGAAATCCAAACCATGAAGAAGAGTGTGTGCGTGTGTGCGTGCGTGTGTGTGTGTGTGTGTGTGTGTGTGTGTAGTGCTAAGGAGGGTGCTTTGGAGGAGAGTGGGTGTGAACACACCCAGCAGCAGATCCCTGCCTGGAGCTGTTCTAAGTGAGTTTGCAATCTGCCAGGAGAATACTATGTTCTGGCTGCAGACGTCAGGTTTAGGGCACAGGAAGGAGCAGCTGGCAAGAAAGCACACACTCCTCTCTCCTGCCCTTTCCAGAACATCTATTCATCAGGCCGTGGCTGGCACCCAGAGAAAACCAGGTAGGGCGTGTCCTGGAGGCAGCGCCAGAGCCTGAGCCCTGAGAGACCCCGCTCTGCCCCCACTCAGCTCTGTGACACCAGGCATGGTGCCACTCCACCCTGGGGTTCGTTTCCCTTTCTGCAAAACAATGGAGTCAGACAAGAACAGGGCCCTTTGGCTCCATAACCACAGTCATTCTGTGCCTGCCCGTCGGGCAGTGGGGCTTCCAAACACAGAGGGACCATTGAGAGCCGGGATAGGAGCCTGTGGAATTCCTACCAGCTTTCGTCAGGGGCAGACACAGGCGGTTTTCTTCCCTTCGGTTCCTGTGTCCTGCCCTAAGTGCACTGAAAACCTGTGAACTCGTGTTTCTTTCCCTCCCAGAAGGAAATGGGAAGCTGGGGATGGGAAGCTGGGGAGGTAGACGAGAGGACCATGTGGCATAATGAGAAGACGGAGGGAGGCTGGGAGGACCCAGTACACGGAGTCACTGCAGGGAGCCGGGAGAGAAGACACGCGCACCAAAATCAGATAAACCAAGTTTTATTCAGAAAAGCAAATTAGTCATCACAACTAAACTATTAAATGAGGCACACTGGTCCCCTCTCACTAACGGCCCTCACCCACACACTCCCACCCTCTCTATTGGCCTTTGTAGAACACTAGCAAATTCCTTTCCTGGGTCCACAAGTGGTCCTAGACTTTGGGACTGGTAGGAGCCCACGGTGGTCTCAGGCTGAACTGAGTCCTAGAGTCTCATGAGGGAGGCCAATGAGACTGCCCCCAGTATTCAAAACTTCTGGGCCAGGTCAGGTAGCCCTTCCTATGGTACAGGGTCTCGAGGGGGAGGAGGGGATGGGTGTGGGGCCGTTTTACAAGTCCTTCTCACATCTGCAGAGGCAGCTGGAGGCCAAGCAGGAAGGCACACTAGAAGAGCCAGTGGGCTCTGGAACGTTTCAGGCACATCTGGATGGCTAAGGTAGCATGAAGGCCAAGGAGATGTCTACTCCTGAGTAAGGTCACCTGGCCACAGACACAGCACCATGAGCTGGGGGGCTAAGAGGAGATCCTCAGGGGGCTGGTTCTGAGCTGAATACACAGCCTAAATGGTGATCTGAAAAAAAAGAAAAAGGAAAAAGCTGGAGCTAAAACCCATTGTTGAGGGCACAGAGGGGCACGGCTCAGTGCCAGACATCTGGGATCTCGTGCCCAAGTCGGCACAAGGACAATCAGGATTTCTCTTGTGTTAAGGTAAAACGAATCTTCACTCCTCTCCCATCTCCCAGTGGATAGTGTGGAAGGGTAGCTGCTGGGCAGAGGTGGGCGTCAGCTCTCCCCACTCTGCAGCCCTCTGCTGGCCCAGGCCAGAATGGTGTCCCCTGCCCTGGGAGAGGTCCGCGTGACCGCATGACCGGCTGTGGGGACCTCTGCGGCCTCAGCAACGTGGAAACCTGCAACAGAAGAACCAAAGTCACTGGGCCTCCCTGGCACCTCCAAGTACCCCGGCCAAGGTCAGCCCCGGGCTCCGGCTGGCACCGGTGGTGGGAGCTGACGGAGCCGGTGCCCCGCCTGCAGTGAGGCCACAGGACACCAGCCTAAATGAGGCAGCGACGGGCTCAGAGTTCTAGGATTTCTCGAAGGACAGAAAGTAACAGTAACAACAAGAAAAATAACCACAATTTTAATGGGGACAGACTTTCCGTTCTGCAAGATGAAAACCCTTCTGAAGACGATGGTGGGTGACAGTTGCACAACAATGTGAATATACTTAGTGCCACCCAGCTGTACACTTAAAAATGGTTGAAAGGTCAATTTTATGCCATGTATATTTATATTTTACCCAATTTTTTAAAAAAGCAACCACATTAACGGTATCAAACATGCCTTGACTCCCTCCTGTATATGGTACAGCCCGGGCCTGAAGAGACCAAACTGCCAGAGTCCAGGTCCGAGCTCCCCAGTCACCGTCTGGGAGACTCTGGGCAAAGTACTTAACCTCTCTGTGCTTCCTCTTCCTCCTAGGCAAGATGAGGGTACCAGAACTCACCTCAGCAGGGTTGTCAAGGGAACGTGCTTCGAGCAGCGAGCAGAGGCAGGCACATAGCAGCCCTAGATAAATGCCGCGATGCCCCTCGCTCACATCCAGATCTTCACAGCTTCAACAACAAGACTCACACCTCTCTACCAAAGCATTAAAGACACACTCACAAACGCACATTCCGGCCTTCCCTATTCTAGTTTCTAACCCAGACATGGCTGAACTTTTTAAAATGATCAGACCTTTGAAGGATTTAGCATAAAGGTTGAATTAGCACAACTCTATGGACATTGTGGTCACCCCTCCAACTTGCTCTGAATAAAAACCCCTTAACTTTCAGAAAAGAGAGCTCTGTGTTTTTTATCGCCCCTCCAGGAAATCAGGAAGCACCTTACCTGACGGAGGCTGGGCCAGCTGTTCACCCCAGCTTGGCAGTTTTCTTCTCTTTGGTGAGTGTGTCCCCCCTCCTGCCAGTTGCTCACAGTCAATGCCAGCATCTCTTACAGGTAATGTTCCGTTCCACTCGGAAACCACCTGGATAACTTTGGCTTCCTTTTGCAAACAATGTAGAGGAATGTTCAGATCTGCCAGTTCACAGGTCTCTCACGGGCCTCGCAGGGACAGCCATCTTCTCCCTCACTGGGTCAGGCCCTCCCTCTGCTAGAGCACCCCAGATCTTCAATGATACCGTAGCCAATGGGTTGTATCCCATAGGAATGAAATGACAGCCAGGCCAGCACAGGGATGCTTGGAAGCCTTAGGTGGCAAAAACTAATTGGTCCAGGTCCAGAGGCAGTTAACACCGTAAACTAAATTACTTGGGCTTCTTTTACAGCCGGACTTCTCAGAGCCTTTGATATGCTACTGAGCATCGTGAATCTCCAAGGGGAGGTAACACTTTCGACAAACCCATTTGGCATTGAAACCCCCTTTTAGAGGCTAGCTGCCGAGCCAGGGTTCCTGGGAACACTCACTGCTTTAATGTAAACAGTGCTGGACTGGGAGTCTGGAAACAGTGTTTTAATGGGAATTCGGAAACGGGGTTGCAATCTTATTCTGGCTTTCCCAAAAGAAGGGGTGAGGCTCACCCTGAGATTCCTTCTGGTCCTGTGAGATCTCTAATGCAAAAAGAAATTGGGAGGTGGCGGCGGCGGGGCAGAAGCCCGTGAGAGTAAGGCTGGTAAGGTGAGGTCTGGGAAAGTCGTGTGCATTTGGGCCTGGCCTCCAAGAACCTCGAGGACAAAGGCTGAGCAGGCTGAGGCGACAGAAGACTCCGAGGCGCAAAGGTGCAGCCCGCGGGCCTTTCCAATCCATCCTCACCCCTGCCGACAGGCCCCACCCCAACGTCACAGCACAGACCCAGCAGGATGCTCACACAATCCCAAGCTAAAACGAAAACTCTCCGCTCATCCCAGGACCTGTGGAGGCCTGTCCCCAGCTCCGCCCGCCGTGCAAGCCTGCCCTTCACAGCACTCGAGGCTGGAAGAGGGGCCGGAGAACGGGGACAGCGGGGCGGGAGGGAGGGGGCAGTGGCGCAGCCAGAAGGCCTGTTCCAATTGGGAGCCTCCTCCGGATCTACGCGGCGCCTGTACACGTCTCGCTCTCGACAGGGAAGGGGACGAGGAACCGCGAGGTTTCGCTTCGGGCGGCCAGCTCCTCGGACTTGGCCTTGCCCGGGTCCCTGGAAACGAACGGCGTGGGCGGCGCCGCGGGCCGGACTCCCGGCTGCTGCGCTGCCGTCGGGCGGGAACTGACGGCCAGGGCACCGGGGCGCGGGCGGCGGCGGGAGCGCGGGGCAACGGGTGGGTGCCGAGGCGCACGGGCGCGGGGCGGCGGCTGCAGGAAGGATGGGGGCGCCGGTGTCGGGAGGGCCCCCGCCCCGCGGCGCGGCGGCTCACGCCACCTCCTGCTCCCCCTGGTAGCGGCGGCAGCAGCCGTAGAGCGCCGAGAGCAGGTAGAGGCCGAGGCAGAGGCCGCCGCAGACGGCGGCCGCCAGGAAGGCGTGGTAGGCGCAGGCCATCTGGTAATCCTTGAGGTTGCAGTAGCTGTGGCTCTGCGTCTGGGAGATCATGATGCCCGTCGCGGCGCCGTAGAGCGCGGCCGCCAGCAGGTCGTGCGCCACGTTGACCACGAGCCAGCGCGAGCCCAGCACGGGCACCAGCTCGTGCTTGCCCAGCAGCGTGAGGAAGTAGAGGCCCAGGGTCAGCAGCCAGAAGAGCACCGACACGAAGAGCGCGAAGTGCACGGGGCCCTGGTAGCGGCTCGTGGCGATGGTGATCCAGAAGGCGGCGCCGGCCAGCAGCTGGAGCAGCCGCAGCACGCCCAGCGGGCCGCGCAGGAAGGCCCGCTGCAGGCGCACCGCCCCGCGGACCGCGCGCGCCTGGGGCGGCGGCTGGCGCGGCGGCGGCGGGAGCATGGCCCCCGGGCGCGGTGGCGGCGGCGGCGGCGCCCCGAGCAGCGGAATGGCGGCGCCCGGCTCGCGGGGGCGGCCCGGCCGACGTGCCCGCTGCGCCCGCGGCGGCCTCCTCGCGTCCTTCCGAGACCTCCTTGCGCTTCCTCTCCCCTTCTCCCCACCCTTCCTCCCCTCTCTCCTCCCTACAGCCCTCCTCTCCTCTCTCTCTCTCTCTCTCTTTCTCTCTCTCCACCCCTCCTACCCGCCCTTTCGCTTCTCTTCCTCGTCTCCACCCCCCACTCGCTCCTCCAGGCTTCCTGCCATCTCTTTTTGGGCCTCGCTCACCACCCCGGCCCCCCTTTCCTGCCGGCGCCAGACTCCCAGCTCGGATTCCTTCCTCCCCGGGGCGCGGCGGAGGGCACTCGCACCCCCCCAGCCGGCCGCGGGCCTTCCGCTCAGGCAGCCCGGGCCAAGTTTGGCACATCTGGGGCCGCCCTGCCCGCCCGGCCTCCCCGGCTCCCGTCCAGCCTCAGAGGGGAAAGCTGTCTTCTGGAGGGTTCTCTGCGCCTCTCACTGGGCCCCTTTCTTTCCACTTTCTCTTGCCCTAATGCCCACCGGGGCCCCCTGGCCTTTTCCTGGTGCTGGAGGCGGGCAGTGCTGGTCTTGAGTTGACGTCAATTCTCACATGGACGTCTGGAATATGCTACCAGTGTCCACCTCAGGCCTATCCTGGTCTCTCAGACATCAGAGAAAGGGACTGCGCGGACCAGAGGCCCCACTGCCCCTCCCACACACCACAAAACCAAGTCCTATCGGTCCATCTTCATCTTTCCGAACCTCTTTGCCATCCAGTGTTGCCTAGATTAAAAAGGTGCCACCGAACACGGCCGGGACACAAACCCTGGGGCAAGAGACAGCAAGGTCCGTGTGCTTAACAGCTAAGCAAAACAGTCTGTCGTCGAAGCTACTGATGCTTACACTGACCTTCACCTGTACGCCCATTTAAGTCTCAAGACAGCCTCAGAGATACAGTTACTTTCCTGGTTTTACTAAGGAGAAATGACATCCAGAGGGGCTAAGACATGGAGCTGGTAATTGCACCTGGTGTCTCCTCTCTCCATCCCATCCAACCTTTGTGCACTGTGACATCTTTCTAAAACACAGTACTGGCCTTTGCACTGCCTCCTCCACTGACCACAGGATAGGGTTCTATCTCTTCTGTGGGCACAGTTCACAAAATGGGTCCAAGTGACTTTCACTTTCCTTGTTTTCCACTTCTTTCCCTTACGCATGCTCCCACCCAGCATGCCAACCCCAACAAACCTCTTAGGTTCACCCTAAGAAGCTTGGAATGCCCTTCATCCCCGGGCCCCACCTGACTGGCAAACTCCTACTTATCCTTCAATGCCCAGTTTAGATGCTCCTCCCTTTGGTTCTTTGGTCCAGCCTCCCACGCTGTTGCTTGCTGGCTCCTGAGGCGCTCACTTAGAGCGTCCATTAGTTCTGCAGTACTTCTGAGTCTGCTACATTGCAACTGTTGGCTGTCACCTCTATCTGCCTTCGCCTGGCACATAGGAGACTCAATAAATGTCAACACAGTGGATGACTGAATGGTTGTGATGAGGGGGTGTGGGGCAAGCTGAGGGAAAAGTACAGGCTAACAGCAGCCCCCACTCCCTGCCAGGTGGGATGTATGTGATATTCCTTGGACACCCCCTGGCTGCCCGAGAACATGGGAAAGGAAAGACAGGAGTCTCCTTCAGTTTACGGGTAACTTAGTTAAACTGCAAGAAAAAAGCAATCTTACCCATAGCCTAATCTCCAGAAACCTATAGACTGTTTCCTGGAGCCCTAATATCATGCTGTAAGGGGGTTTAAGTGCTTACCATGGTGATGTGGGAAACTGAGACAAATGAAACATTAAATTCCTTTACTGCCTACAGCCCACTGGCGAGTCCTTGAAACAGGCAGAGTGACCTTCCTCTCAGAGCTCAGCTGCCTCAATGGTGACACTTTGCTAGGGGCAAAAAGGACTCTTGGCTTAACATTATCTAAGATCTAGGATCCTGTAAGTCTTCTTTTTCTTTAAAAAAATTTTTTTTAATGTTTCTTTATTTTTGAGCGAGAGAGAGACAGAGCGCGAGGAGGAGAGGGGCAGAGAGAGAGAGGGAGACACAGAATCTGCAGCAGGCTCCAGGCTCTGAGCTGTCAGCACAGAGCCCGATACAGGGCTCGAACGCACAGACCACAAGATCATAACCTGAGCCAAAGTTGGCGCTCAACCGACTGAGCCACCCAGGGGCCCGCATAAGTCTTCTTTAACATATAAAAATTCTTTTGGAAACTTTCTTTGTCTCAACTCCCCAAGTATGTGCTGGCAATCGTACTCCAAGCTTACGGCCCCTTGATATACATCTGAAGGGTCTCATGACTGAGGTTTCACTAAACAGTTAACAAATGGCGTTTTCCTAACAACAGTTATCCCCTCAAGATCCTGGAAACCTTGGATCCTGGAAACCAAAAATTCCTTAGAGATTTACACTGTCCCTGACCCCTCCCAAGAGGGTATATAATCAGTTACCCATCACAACCCCAGTGCAGTTCTTCCTGCCCACGGGTCCTGTCCCTGTGCTTTAATAAAATCGCCTTCTTGCGCCAAAGACGTCTTTAAGAATTCTTCCTTGGGGATCCTGGATGGCTGGGACAGGTAAGTGTCCAACTTGGGCTCAGGTCATGATCTCGTGGTTTGTGAGTTCAGGCCCCGTGTTGGGCTCTGTGCTGACAGCTCAGAGCCTGGAGCCTGCTGCAGATTCTGTGTTTCCCTCTCTCTCTGACCCTTCCCCGCTTGTACTCTGTCCCTCTCTCTCTCTCTCAAAAATAAATAAACATTAAAAAAATTAAAACAAAAGAGTTATTTCTTGGCCGTTGGCTCCAGACCCCCATCATCACCCGGTAACCCCATCATTCGGCACCCTTCACAGGGGGCTTCGAATCTTTTCATTTGGACTCTGAGGCAGTGCAAACCTGGTGAGTACTTTTCTTACTTTACTCTCATTTCAGGGGGCTTTTCGAGAAGTATGGTCTTATTGGAGCACTTTTATGTTGATTGCTCAGGCTGCAATCCTTCCCCCGCGGCTATTCTACACGGAGGAGAAAGCTAGTACCCCAGCCAGAATGGTAAGATGCCCCAGGAACTTGATGTCCTCTCTTAATTCCTGTCCTCATGCAAAGCTGTCTGTCTTGGGCACGGGACAGCCACCTACGTGACTAGCACGATTGCTGATCTTAAGACTCCTGCGTGAGGTTTCCTCCTCATTGGTCTAATGGGATCCTCTGCACATCTCTTCAGTTGTGGGAACAGCAATGAAACTGAGAGGGCCCTCTTACCTTGGGGACCATGCACGCTCAGTCCCCCAGCTGACCCTACCTGCAGAACTAGTCCCTCATCTCCTGGTCATGGGATGCGTCCACTGGTGCCCTGGCCTGGTGAGCTGGTCTCTCTTCCAGCAGCCTGTCACTCTTTTTTTTTTTTTTTTTTGCTAATGTTTTTTATTTATTTCTGAGAGAGAGAGAGAGAGAGACAGCATGAGCAGGGGAGGATCAGAGAGAGAGGGAGATACAGAATCTGAAACAGGCTCCAGGCTCTGAGCTGGCTGTCAGCACAGAGCCCGACATGGGGCTCGAACCCACGAACCGTGAGATCTTGACCTGAGCCGAAGTCGGACGCTTAACCAACTGAGCCACCCAGGTGCCCCCAGCAGCCTGTCACTCTTTGTGGGAGAAAATGTCCCTGCCTCCAGGGACCTGAGACATATGTTCCGAATGCATATTTTAAATGACTAAAAGGGGCTGTGTGACATCCATATCTATGTGAGATAACAGCACAGAGGCCAGGGTACAAACCCTGGAGGGAGACTGCCTGGCTATGCATCCCTGCTTCACCCCTCCCTCGTGCCAGGACCGGGTGGTTCCTTAACTGCTTTGTGCCTCAGTTTTCTCATCTGTGAAATCCTTTCATTTAGCAAATGGATATTAAGCACCTGTTAGACACTGGGCACCATTTTGGGGTCTAGAGATACATAATGTATATGTGATCATGGTTAATTGAATGCCTACTATACTTTCTTTAGGCACTGTTTTTTTTTTTAATGTTTATTTTTGAGAGGGGGAGGGGCAGAGAGAGAGGGAGACACAGAATCTGAAGCAGGCTCCAGACTCTGAGCTGTCAGCACAGAGCCTGATGTGGGGCTAGAATTATGAACCGTGAGATCATGACCTGAGTTAAAGTTGGACACTTAACCGACTGAGCCACCCCGGTGCCCTTCTAGGCACTGTTTTGTTTTTGGTTTTGTTTTTTTAATTTTTTTAAAAGTAAGCTCTATGCCCAATGTGGGGCTTGAACTCACTGACCCCAAGATCAAGAGTCACATGCTGTACCAACAGAGCCAGCCAGGCGCTCCTATACTCTGATTTGCTGGTGGGGAAGCCAGGACTCAGAGAGTTAAGGAAGGTGAACATGTTCGCGGAGCTGATGGGGGACAGTTTTAATAGGACCCCAGGTGTAGCTGGCTCCAGGTCCATATTCAGAGTGCTTACATACACTTTCCCATATTTTATCCTTAGTTCTTATTACAGGGACCCAGAAAAGTTATGTAACTTGCTCAGAGAAACAGAACTAGCCAGTGTCAAAGTGGAGACTCAAAACTAGGTCTTCTGATGCCAATTCTGGGGCTTTTCTCTCAGCATCCCTGAGCACTCCTGAGCGACATTCTCAGTGCTCTCAGGGTGCCAGTCTCGAAAAGGGCTAGAGCTAGACGGGCAGCTGGGGGCTGAATCTGGGTGCTGGGCTGATGACGAAGTCATGCCACACAAACTATCCTCCGGGGAGCAGGGGACTTAACCAAATAAACATTCAGAGCTTCCCTCCTCTAAAAAAGGCGTCTGGAGATTTAAGAGTGGAGCGCCACCTGGTGGGCACAAACCTTCAGCCTCACAGCTACGTCCAGCTCCTTACAAGGAAGCCAATGGATGGCTTTGGGAAGATATTTTTAGCCTCTGGAATTCTGAAGACATTCCAAGGGGCAGTCCAAGAGACTCTGCAAAAGCATAAGCACGCAAGATCTTGATTCTTCCAAAACAAATATGGTCTAAGCAC